TTTTTTGAATTTTTATTTCTTATTTTTGCAAAGCTGTTTAAGAACTCATTCAATCTCATTATAAATTGTAAAATGATTTAAACCAGTCAAAAACAAATTAGGCCAACAAAACAAGTAGGAAAATTTGTTTAGAAAACAAATTGCTTGGCAAGAGAGAAAAATCATTTAGCAGCTAATTAAAAAAATGAAAAGCATTTACTCCGGCCACAGTCAATATCAATGGCCATTCAATTAGGTAGCCCTTGTTGATTGATTGCTGAACCGGCTGTCCAGAGATCTGATTGTTGTTGTAAGAGTTTGGTATCTATCTGTGTCTGGTGTCTGGTTGGGCGCATTCGAGTGTGACCCACTTTTCGGCGAGCCAAGAAATTATTGAATGAATAAGTTGAAACCAATTTCTGACAGCTGAGCAACGTTTCATTCAATAACAACAACAACAACAGCATGAGCAATGTATTATTGACAGGCACTCAGGCCCACAAGAGTGCGTCAATGGATTCGATAGTTTTTGTGTGAGTGTGTGTGTTTTTTTTAGAGGGAGGGAGGGGCTAGTCTGTGGGCCAGCTGTTTAGCATCCGACGGTGTTGAGTCATTGGACGTCGCTTTGACGATTCTCCTGCGCTTCGAACAGATTCGGCTCACCCTGCAGCACCACCTTGAACTGGAGCTTGCAGCGGTCGCCGGCGGTGCAGTGCTCCCAGACGTCCGTTGCCGTGTAGATCAGGTAGTCCATGTTGCTGTGGAGCAGCTCCTCGCTGTCCAGCAGCGGGGGATCCAAGAAGTTGCGCAGGCAGCGCACGCCCCGCACCTCGCGGCCCGCCGGCCCGTTCAGCAGGCTGACATGGGCGCTCACCCGGCGCGAGGCCACCGGACTTATCATATAGAGCACGTACATCTGCTCCAGATTGGGCGCCGGCGGGCTGATGTACATCATTAGCAATATGGGCAGATGATTCACGAGCTGCAGCTCCGGTCCGATGGGACGGCTGCAGGTCACTCTGTTGGAGCCGGCATACGCAATGACGCCCACCACGTGATTGCAGCCGGGCGCCAGCTTGGCCAGGTCCAGGTCGTACACCGTGTGCCAGTCGGAGCCAATCTCCAGCATCGAGTCCTCGGGCCGATGACGCATCAGCACATGCGCCATCAGCTCCTGGGGCGTCATCTTCAGGTAGCAGCCCTTCACGGGGCATTTGGCTGGTATGCCATCAAAGAGATCCAAGTGGGCGAACGCATTCTACGAAGAATCGATATGGATATGAAATGTTGCTGATGCAGCAGCTGGGTCAAGTGACTTACCATAATTTGGAAAAGTCTCTTCTCAAACTTCGCTCAACGTGTTTAAAGCTTGACAGCTGCGACGAAGGATTCGTGACGACAGTTGATGCAGCCCTAATAGTTCTTTTAATATCGATTATTGGAAGTTGCAAACCAAATTTATTGTGATGTCTTTTTTATTAATCCACATATTTTGACAATATGCAATATGCGAATACAACTCTTTTCACTTAGTATATTAAAGTTATGAACATATCAAACTATTTGACATTTTTCTTAAATTGTGAGTCTTTGTAAAGTCCGACATCATCGTAGAGCAAAGTTTGAACAGACCGAGCTGAAATATATGTACGTTTCAGAAATTTTAATAGCCCTATTAGCCATATAATCGTATGTGTTGTATTGTGGTACTACTAGGCACTAAGTAATGTCGAGTTATGCAAAATTAAAATTGAAACAGTATTATTTATTATGAGTGGAACAGTTATAGACAGACTGATACATACATATATATGTACATATTTATTCTGGGTAGTGTATTTAAATATCACAATATCTTTTCACTTCACTGCGATTGCCTTTTTATCGCACTCACTCAGTCTACCCTATAATACAGGGTGTCTCTTTAGAGGTTGACAACTTTTAATTGGCAGCACTTTATTTGAGAACAGCTGATTGAGTTGCTTTTCGTTAAGTTTGGTTTGACTGGTAGACTTATTCTACGACAAAACAGCAGAGCAAATTCAACTTAAAGCTTATTAAAGATCCGTTACATTATTAGTTTATTAGTTTTGCTTCTCAGTTACATTATTTATGAGTGCAATTTATTTTCCTGACAGTTTACTTGACATTTCAATTTTAAAGTTTGTATGTATATGTATGTATTGAATGATGAACAATGCAAAGTACAAAAGTCAATAAAAATAAACTATATAATAAATAATTCTTCTACAATGTATATATTTATCGTCTAATAAACAGAACTTAAATATATTAAGAGTATACACCTATACCCAAGTCCAAACTCAGCTTAAATTTCATAAATGAGGTATATAATATTATTTTTTGAGGCATATAGTATCAAAATATCAGATCAGCCAATATTTAATTAGATATTTTTATAAGATATCTTAAACAATGAACTAGATCAATGATCAAGGACTATAATCGTGTCTAGTACAACTTTGCTGCTTTTGTTATTCGCATGCATAACTAAGCATATACAAATACGCATTTGTATATTGTGAAAATCTAGTAATAACACTAATAAATCCTTGCGTCGTCTTTTAGCTTACGGGAATCCCACTCGAATCCAATTTGGGCGTACGATCTGTTTTTGGTCTCTGTAATCTTTTTGTAATACTTTCTAAGTAGCTAGTATGTTTGTGGGTGAAGAGTGATAACAATAACGGTGCTATCAGTCACCAGATACATTTGTATCTCAAGGCTAGTCATGTCGTATTTCCGCAGCTTGTGCGTTCACTTACGGCTGCAGGCTAAAGACATTCGTTGTTGTTGTTGATATTTTATTGTTTTCGCCAAAACACGCCCCGAAAAAACGGCCACGAAATTGCGTGGCGAATGTGGGAAGATAACGAAATGGGGGAAAGACAAAAGCTGGGTAGCCGAGATAAATGTCGTTTTAATTATGAAAAGCTACAAAAGTAATAAGCAGACGACATGACTACCAAAACGTAAACAATTAACCGCACGATAACAGACGCAGATACAAGATCCGAGATACAAGATACAAGAGACAAGATATTCGACAAAAAGTCGAAAGCGTTTGCCGTTTGCTGTTTGCCGTTTGGCGTTTAGCTTTAAATTTGTCGCCGCGTTTGAAATGCCAGTCGCGGCGATCGGCTGTCCAACAACTTGCCAGCGAATTGACAGACATATAAATTGCTCCGCAGCCAGGCGGGCAGCTAGCCGTGTATCTTGTATCTTGCAGATACAGCAGCCGTTGCCGACGCCGCGTGCCAGCCGAACGTTTGTCATGCACTCGGTTTTCCTTTTGCAGAGTTACAACAGCGCGGCCTCCACCACACACAAATGTATCTGCAACAAGTTGCTAACGCCAGCGACGCCGACGTCGGTAGCGGCGGCGACAGCGGCAGCGACAGCGCTGCTGCGGTCGGCATCGAAGTTGCGAGTCGAACGAACTCGGCTTCAAAGTGCTTCGAGACTTTGCTCTGTGCAGTCGCGCGGTGCGCCTCCAGTTACAGATACTTCCGATCGCAACTCGTAGATACTTTTGCGCCGCGCTGATCGTCGCTGAAAAGCATTGAATGGTGTGCGTGTGTGTGTGCGTACGTGTGCGTGTGTCAAGTATTTAAGTGCTAATTGACAACAACTGCTGTAAGCTCTCTCTGTAACTGTTGTTCTATGTATCTCACGGCTGCTCAATCAAGCAAACAAACGAACTCCCAAACATAATATTGCTCGAGTGTGCGCGCACATATCTCTCAGATACGAAACAGCTGCCCGGCATACTTTATGTTGATAAAGATGCTCATAATGAAGCTGCTGCTGCTGTTGTTGTTGTACTTGTTGTTGTTGTTGTAGTTCTGATTGTGAGTCATCAAAAGCCTAGGTCCCAGCCAGTCGATCGGTCGATCGACCGTGTGTCTGAGTCAGTTCCTGCCCATTGCTTGGGTCTCTCTGACTTATTGCTTCACCTCGGCGCCTTTGTTTGACTTAGTCAATAGTTGCACACAAAAAAACAAAAAATAAATAAAAAATAGCAAATGATAATAATAACTCTATGTTACATATATTTTACTATACTATCCGACAGCTTACCTGTGAGCAAATGAGACAGCAGCATGAACAGAAGTCGTAAATATATCTAAAGTATATAGTTATACCAAACTTGGATCACCGATCGATCTTCAATCTTCGATCAAACTCCTTTTGATATTGAATTACTTTTATGAATTTGTAAACAATATCGTTTGATTGACATCAAAGTTTGATAGATTCAATATATATCAAACTCGATCTCCAGCCTCCAATCCTCTCTACTCAAACTCCTTTTGATATTAAAAAAAAAAGTTTATAAAGTTGTAAACAAAATCGTTTATTTGAGTTATATCTCAGGTTCAGTTATTCAGTATATACTTATACCAATCTCCGATCTCTGCTCTTCCATCTCCGATCTTCTCTACTGAAATTCCTCTTGATATTGATTAACATATATAAAGTTGTAAACAAAATCGTTTGCTTGATTGACATCGCAGTTTGATTCATTCGAGAGCTATGCAAAGTGCCTGATTACGGTTTACCCACAAGTGCAATAACATTAAGATAACATAATAATAACCATATAAATTACAAATACAACAAGACAATGGCCACCTCCACGCTGAGTGCGACATCGAATACGTCGAGTCCGGCTGCGATCAAGAATCCGCAACTGAAACGCGTCGTCTACTCCAAGTATCGGGAGCTGTTGGGCTCGTATAACGATAAGGCCAATGCCATAATCGAGACGCTGCCCGCTTATATGGTGCGCGAGGATCGTGGATTTCAGCTGGAGCTGCCGCTGGCCCCGCTGCAGCAGAATGGCCAAGACAAAGAATGCCTGGTGGATACGTAAGTAGACTAGGCCGGGGGCTGCACTGAATCCACAGCGATTTATGACAGCTGAGCGAGATAAGAATTTCTCTTCTCTGATGCGCAAAAAAAAAAAAAAAAAAAAAAAAAAAAAATTTCTATGTAAATATTTTGTGTGTTGCCGAGGCGAGATTAGCTGCGCCTGGAATGTGCAACTCACCCGAGGCACCCTGTAGTGCTCTAACTCTATTTATAGACCCAGTCGCTGGCTGGCAGGCGGACAATGACTATCATTATGTCATGTTGCATGTGGCAGCTTTCAAGTTGTGTCTGTCTATGTCTCGCTCTCTCACTCTGTCTACGTCTCTCTCTCTCTCTCTCTATCTCTCTTTCTCGCTCTCTGTGTGTGTGTTGCCCTTGATCTTGAAATATGCACAGAACTGGCCACTGCCAGTGGAGCTGATCTCACAGATCCAGTTTTTGTTTCAATTTCATTTTTTTTCCTCATGGATTGAACATTTTTTCACGCTCATTTGCATGCGCGCAAAAAGTGAAAATGTAAATTGTACAAATGTTTTTCTATAATTTTCCTGATCTTTTTTTTTTTTTTTTTTTTTTTTTTTTTTTTTTGTTTTTTTTTTGTTTTGTACACTTCTGCATTTGGCTTTCAGCTATTTTCATAAAACGCAACTCACGCCAGCTGCTAATGGCCTCTGCCTGCCTCTACGATATTATTTTTGGTCTATATTTCTCACCTCCTATACACATAAATATATATGTGTGTGTATATGTATCTGTACAGCAGCTTCTATTTTTAGCGAATGCAAATTGCAAATGTCACAGAATTGGACCAGTGATTCATATGCAAATGCTTTAAGTGGATCATGTGAAACGTGCAGCTTATTATTTGCCTAGTTCCAATCCACTTTGACTTTGCACTTTGTTGACTTTCTTCTTATTTTTGGTTTAGTTCTTTCTGACATCCTAATTGCCGCTGCTGTCAAAATCAGCTGCTGATCTAGTTGCCTTCCTGAACTTGTCTAGCTCTAGCTCTGGCTGTAGCTCTTTGGTCCATTTTCCTGACAGATTGACGTCATCGGATGGCGCTGTCGCTCGATCTTTGTTCTCAATAATTTCACAGATACAGAAAACAAAGTTTTTCTTTTCTTTATTATTATTTTCTTTTATGAATTGACTTGTCTCGATTTGTTTAGCACACGTGTGAGTGGAAAAATAAAAGCAAATTGCAGACTGTGACGTCAACCCTAAGGGAAAGACAACCAAACCTATTAACTCGGAAGCTGTGCTAGACTTTTTGGATTATTTTTGGATTCAAGTTTCTAGCTATTCTTTATAGTCAGCACTCATTGAAAATCGGAAATCGTGGCATAATAGCTCAAGGCTAAATGTATGTAATAGGCACTAGGTGGAACGATAGACCTCATTAAAAATATTATTGGTCTGCATGATGAGCTGAATTGATTTATCACTGATTAATCTGTCTACTTAACCGACTCTTAATATGTTCGAATTCATAGCCGATCCGATCTCAATTATCTATAGGAAGAATGCCTATAAGATAGTATATAAGATCTAGTATA